CTGGGTGGAGTTTGCATGTTCTCTCCGTGCATGCGTGGGTTTTCTCCGGGTACTCCGGTTTCCTCCCACAGTCCAAAAACATGCATGTTAGGCTGATTGGTAACTCTAAATTGTCCCTAGGTGTGAGTGAGAGAGTGAATGGTTGTTTGTCTCGTTTGTCTCTATGTGTCCCTGTGATGGACTTGCGACCCGTCCAGGGTGTACCCCGCCCCTCGCACAGTGATTGCTGGACATGGGCACCAGCGACCCCCGTGACCCAAAATGGAATAAGCGGGTAAAGAAAATGGATGGATGGATGGATGAATCTTACATATCTATGAAGATGGCAGCACAGTGGTGCAGTTGGTAGAGCTGCTGCCTCTCAGTGACAAGGTTGCCATTTCAAATCCTGGCCGGGGGCCTTTCTGGGTGGAGTTTTCATGTTCTCTCTGTGCATGCGTGGGTTTTCTCGGGGTACTCCAGTTTCCTCCCACAGACCAAAAACATGCATGTTAGGCTGACTGGTAACTCTAAATTTGTCTCTAGGTGTGAGTGAGAGAGTGAATGGTTGTTTGTCTCATTTGTCTCCATGTGTCCCTGTGATGGACTGGAGATTGCCCAGGTTGTCCCCAGCCTCTCACACAGTGACTGCTGGACATGGGCACCAGTGACCCCTGCAACCAGAAAAGGAAGAAGCGAGTAAAGTTAATGGATCAGAGTCAGAGATTCTTTATTGTCGTTCGCACCACATGTGGTACATGTGGTGGAGCAAAATTATGTACACACGGTCCCAGTTACATCCAACAATAAAATGTAAAAGAAAAACAGTAATAAGATCCAAGATATGAACAAAGAAAAACATCAACTATAAATACACTAAGCACTCATAACATAAAAACATTGCGTCGAACAGCAGCATGAACATGAGTCTGTTTGAGCAGATGAGCACGCATGAACACATCAATATGAAACAGTTCAGCAGCAACATGAAACAGTTCAGCAGCAACATGAAACAGATCAGCAGCAACATGAAACAGATCAGC